AACCCTGCTCCTCTGTCTTCTCTCATTTCCCCCCTACAGCCTAAACCATGAGCTCTCTCCCTGGGATGTGGTGCTGTATGGGCTAAACCCTACGGAACGGTCAATTCTGCCTGGGCTACAGCTCGGAGGAACAAGTGAAGATCTTCTGGACTAGAACTGTGACCCCTCTTCCTTCTCTGCAGTTCAGTGGGGCTGCTCATGTGCTTAAAATGATGCACAAGCTTAGCTCTGTCAGGTCACATCTGATTACAACCCTCCCCCATTAAACCACTAAGATGTGCGTGCCCTGCCTGCTGGGAAAGCCATGGGGTCATACTGCTGTAACCATCGCCCTTCCTCATTCATTTCCCTCCTCACAGCTTGTTCCTCCCACTTCCTGCACCACGCCTGAGAGTCTGCCCCTGCAAGCAGTAGGCACGTGAGCCATTTGAGTCACATGACTAGTCCCATGGACATCTACATCCTGGTCTATACAATCTATTCCTGATAAAGAGTCAGCAAAGGGTGCAGCGAATCAGCACTGAACAAGCTCCTGCTGTAGACAAGCTGCAAGATCTAGAGCCAAACTATTTCAAACTAAGAATTTTAAAAATCGAATGATCTTTTCCCCGTATATTTTGTTCACTTTTTGAGCTCTGTGCATCTTCCAGAATGAAAGCCGAAGGGGCATCCTTACTTATTTACACTGGAATTTAAAACAATGCGTGGAAACATCTCTGTTGGTCTTAGGTATGATCTGACGCTGTCCCTTTAAACAAAAGAAGATTTCTATCAGCTAAAATTAAAAGTGGATTAAAACTACAGAATCCCTGGCACCAGGAAAAAACCTAGTGGAAACCAAAATGTCTCAGGCCTTTATCCTGCAAACCCTTCCACATACTTGCTTAACTTTAAGCATGTTTAGAACATTAAGTATTTGCTTAAAATGTTTGTAGGATTGGAGCTGAAAATAGCAAAGAATTAACAAAAGTCACCACAAGTTAGTTAAAGCTCATATTTATCAGCTGTGCCAGAGAGGCTGCTGCTCATTTCTGCTCATCTCAAAGACAAGACTAAAAAAAGGGGCAGAGGAAGTTAGTTACGTAGCTGGCTATGCACATTCCCATGCTGCGTGAGATAGTGTCCAGATAAAATCCTCTGCATGATAAATGAGCCAGGAGGTGGGGGAAATCACCAGACTAACGCAGCTTTGGGCATCCTTAAACTTGCCCCACCCAGCATCAGCTACAATATTAGTGTCAGCTGGGCAGGAGGGGGTGGCTGGGTGTGACCAACCCACTCGTAGGGATCCAGACAAAGCTTCACCCTCAAAGTTTCTATGACCTGGGCAGACAACAAAGGGGTGGAGGATAATATTATCTACGAATAAAGGTGCTGATACAGCTAGAGCAGGCTAAAAATAAACGTGACATTATCTCCTCCAATGCACCAAGCCCTGGCCTGTGTCTCGTTCCCCCACATGCACAGGGCGCAGACCATGCCTGCTGCATCAGACTCTTCCTACAGACTGCACCATCTTGCTGGCTACTCACGTTTGTATCTGATACAGGTGCTAAACTCATTTGATAGGTGACCTGAGTTAGATTTAGCCCGGACTAGGATATTAATCTGCTGGACCCCGTGGGCCTGGTGCAAACAAACAGCTGCTCCTGGCTGAATTAGCAGTAGAAGGAGAAAGTGGGAAACAGACATTCTCTCTTTTTCCAACAGGGACCCAGACCCAGACATCCTCCTCCGCATCCTGCTACCATGCGTCCTGCTGCTTCTCATTTTGTTTCTGCTCGCTGCTGTGATGTTGGTGAGACTGTCCAAGAAGAGGAAGAAAGGTAAGTGAAATCCTGCATGTGTCCTCCAATGAGTCGTGTTTCAGATCCTTGCTGCTTCACTCCCTCCCTCCCTCTTCCCAAATGGGAAAGTCCAGAACTCCACTAAGCACAGGGGCTGGAAATAGGGGTGCTGCCCCACCCCCTGGCTTTAAGTGGTTTCCATCATATACAGGGGTTTACAGTTTGCTTCAATGGCTCTCAGCACCCCCACTATACACATTGTTCCAGCGCCCCTGCCATTAAGGTAGGGTTACCATACGTCCGGATTTTCCTGAACATGTCCGGCTTTTTGGTCCTCAAATCCCCATCCGGGGGGAAATTCCAAAAAGCTGGACATGTCTGGGAAAATAGGGAGGGGTCGTGGGGCTTGGATCCGGGCTGGAGCCGCTGGGGGCAGAGCTGGAGCCACTGGGGCCGGCGGTGCTCGGCCGCCAGCCGGCGCCGCTCACCCGGGGCCGGGGCCGGTGCTGGGGCTGGTGCCAGACGGGCTGGTGCCCCGGGGCCCGATCTGAGCTGGAGTCGCCGGGGCCGGAGCCACTCAGCCGGTGCCCCGGGGCCGGAACCGCTCGGCTGGGGCCGGTGTCCGTGCCCCGGGGCCCAAGCCGAGCTGGAGCAGCCGGGGCAGGCCGGAGCCGCTCAGCTGGGAGGCCGGACTGGGCCGCGCCACCTCGTGCCCCCGCTGCTCCAGCCCCAGCTTACCTGCTGCCTGCCTTTTTCAGGCTTCCCGCGAACATTTGATTCGCAGGAAGCAGGGGAGGGGGAGGAGCAGGGGGGCGGAGCATCCAGGGGAGGGGCGGAGTTGGGGCAGGGATTTTGGGAAAGGGGCGGAGTTGGGATGGGGCCAGGGCCCCTTGGTGTGTCCTCTTTTTGTTATTTTAAAATATGGTAACCCTAATTAAGGGCTTGTCTACATTGCACTCTGGATCGGCAGGCAGCAATCCATCCAGCGGGGGTTGATTTATCGCGTCTACTCTAGATGCGATAAATCGAACGCCGTGCGCTCTCCCATCGACTCCACCAGGGCAAGAGGTGCAGGCAGAGTAAACGGGAGAGCATCAGCCGTCAACTTACCGCAGTGAAGACACCGCGGTAAGTAGATCTAAGTACGTCGACTTCAGCTACGTTATTCACGTAGCTGAAGTGGCGTAACTTAGATCGACCCCCCCCCCCCCCCCCCCCCCC